AGACAGAAACTAGTATTCTACATCTGAAGGAAGTAGGTTGCCCCTGGAAGCTGGTCCATTCCTTGGAAGGTGGTGGGTCCTGGTCCTGGTCCCAGTGCTCCTAGTCTGCCTAAGAGGAAAACAACACCCCTTAGAGCCCCGGAGGTCTGTGAGGGCTCACATGAGAATTAGATGCATACCTGGGCTGAGATGCTTCATTCCTTCCCTCCACTTTCTTGGAAGGAATGCAGCTCAGTGGTGCTCAAACCTTTACTAAGCACCACCCCGGTGCTAAGCACTATTGTGCAGATACAAGGGAACATAACCCATATATTTCACAATGCACTTTCCCAAGGATGCCTGCGGAGCTGTGTGTGTTCTGGCAGCACAGGTCCTCACCCAGGTGGTGGCCCAGGGCTCGCCTTCTGGGCCAGAGTCCTCTCCCAAAGACCACTTCTGATTTCTTCACTGTGCTTACTTCCCAGGTCCCCCCTAACCTCCAACCTCCTGGGAGTGACATTATTGTCAGGGACAGCAGATGGGTGACAGCTGAGCCTGGAGGGCGGGTTCACTTCTCCAGAGTTTATTTAACAAAATCCACATGTGACTTGTCCCCTAGCTAATGGTGACCCTAGCTAGGAGACAAGAACAGACCTTCAGTGTTTGGGTGGTCTGTGGAAGATGAATTGCCATCTGCTTCACTTTAAACTACCCAAGGCAGTTCTAACCCCAGCAGAATGGGGAGCTAGGAAAACGGCACTGATTCCAACATATTTCCATTTTGAAAGGCAGGAAGAAGAAGTATGGGGAGGATGTGTTCTGTGAACTGTGAGGTAGAAAGTAGGAACTGGCTACAAAACTGAGGGTTTGATGAGAAATAATTCTCAGGAAATGCTGCCTCTGCCACAGCCCTTGGTGGACAAAATAGAGTTTGCAGCACAAATGCCCTACATTTCCTATTTGACAGATGCTATCAAAATGTTTCAGGAGGTATTTGAATATTTATGATCTTTATTTTCAAGAAATCTTACATTTTTGGGGCTCCGTAGGCACACAGAGCCAGCTTGGAAGTCATGAGATTAAAATCTGGCACGATGACTTCAAGCTCACTGTAGTTAAAATTGAATTTAGCAGCTCTGACTACAAGTTTGTCCTCCTGCTATATTCTGAGTGCAGTTCCTAGCTCATTCATTCAACCTCTTAGCCAGGATGGATGCCTGAGACCCTTGAGACATCAGCAATTCTCTCACAGCCCACAGCAAAGCTACCACGGATTATCTGTTGATTTTCTATTTTAAATAGACATCAAGCAAAAGAAAGAAATGTAACAAAGTGCCCCTGGACACTCAGAAGCTAACTCAGCTCTCTCAGTGGACCATGCTGTCTCTTTGGACATAACAGTCTCACAGAACAGCAGCATCACACCAGGTCACTCTGAGATCACCATAATGTAAGCCAAAGACAAAACCACGGTGAAGCCTGGGATTACTACACATCTGCGTCTCGTGAAAACAAGCTATTGCTGTGCTTTTACCAACACTTTTATCTCTTCCCTGGTTTGCCCTCCTCACTGAAATACTGGGTCATAAAACTGTCCACACTTTCTGACAGCATCCAGCCTAGAGTGGAGACCCAGTTCCTCAGGGCTTTTCCCAATCACCCAACTACAGCCCAGGTCTTGTCATTGGTTCTCTCTAACCTCTTCTTAATGAGCCGCGTGCGAGTTCCTTCTTGCTGGAAAGAAAGAAACCCAACTGGTTCTCCTGCACAGACGTTATGGCTGGTGGATTTGGCTGCATGTATTGACACCTTTCTCTCCTCACCGCTTTTAGTTGAGGTTTGTCCTTAACTCCCACCACTCCGTAATCCTGCAGCAACCGTGCCCTGTGTGTTTTCTAGCTTCCTGTGTTCTTCCTGTCTTATTCTTTGTTGCCATGTGTCTTAGCTCACAGTCTGTGGAGGTTTCAGCCCATAATCAGCTGGCTCCAAGGTAGGGTGGCATGGTTTATGGGTTTATTAGCATCACAGAGAAAAGCAGCCCATGGTGAGCAGAAGGCAACAGAGCAGTGAACTAGCCAGCGTCCAGCAGCGACAACAGAGACCCTCTTTCTGTCTCTCGTATCCCATCCAAGCTGCACACCGGAGGGCAGGGATCTCTCACCCCAGGAGGGGCAGCCCTAACCTTAGCATCACACCCAGAGTCAGCCCCAGCATCATCTCACCCTGACCCCAGCATCACACGTCCGAGATCCGGCCACCTCTGCCCAGCCCCGGCTGTGACTGCAGGAGACTTTGAGGGGTCATCCAGACGTATTCTATAACACCCCAAGGATCTTCTCCACCCCCACCAGTGGGCTGCAGGAGACTTTGCTTCCCAACTGTGAGGCACAGAGATCAATGTATTGGCAATGTAAACTTCTATGACTAGCTAACTATTCCTTTTCTGTGTCACATCTGCTTTTAAAATACAGTTCACTCACCTGGTAAAGTGGCACCTGCCTGTAATCCCAGAACTTGAGAGGCTGAGGCAGGAGGATTGCTGTGAGTTCAAGGACAGCTTGGGCTACACAGTGAGCTCAAGGCCAGCCTGAACTGCACAGTGAGACCCTGTGTCAAAGACAAAACAAAATAGAAAACAACTGAAAAATAGTTTATAACACCTTTTAATATACAGGGTTTTGTTTGTTTGTTTGTTTGTTTGGGTTTTTTTTTCAGAACTGGGGATTGAACTCAGGTCCTTGCATTCGCCAGGGAAGCACTTATTCCACTGAGCCATCTCCCCGGCCCCTAATATACAGTTTTTAATAAGTTAATATTAAATAAACAGAATCCCTGAGTTATATGGCTGATGTGAATGGATATGTAGTTCACAAAAGAGGTTCAAACATCCCCCCAAAAATCAAAACAATATATTTAGTATTATTAAGAAAAAATTGAGATAAAGTTTTAAAATAATTTTTTGCTTTCCAAATAGCAGATGTTTATGGACTGATTTCAAACTGTTTCATATTTTGAACTGTTTTTTATGTTGATGTTTTCAAGTGATTTTGGTTACAAAAGCCAGCAGGCCCATTCTCAGTGTGTCAGAGGGAGGCTTGGGTGCGCCCCCCGAGGCACGTGTGCTGTGCTTCTGCTGCGACAGAACTCCTGAAACCAGGTGATTCATCAGGACTAGAAGTTCTGGAGACACTCAACGAAGCAGTGTCAGCAGGTAGAGTAGGGGGTATTGGGGTCATCAGCCCCCCTGAACAGATTGATGTCTTCATCACAAGACGAGGGTAATTCTTCAAGTAATGAGTGACTCCCTGCCCTGGGACTACTGGATTATCACCTATGAGTGGGTGGTTATGAAGCAAGGATTGCCTTCATGTTTGGTTTCCTCCATGTGTGCCCACCTGCCCTTCTCTCTTTGGCCATGGGTTGAATCAAAGCTGAGAGAAAAACTGGGCGTGGTGGCACACATCTGTAATCTTAGCACTAGGGAGGCTGAGACAGGAGGATCACTATGAGTTTGAGCTACATAGTAAGACCCTGTACCAAATAAATAAATAAATAAATAAATAAATAAATAAATAAATAAATAAGTAAAGGAGCTGGCCAGATAGCTCAGGGACCACCAGATAGCTCCGCAGATTAAAGCACCTGCTTAGGCAGGCACAGGGACCAGGGTTCAATCCCCTGTGTGCCATGCCGGCCCTGCCCCCAGGGCACTCTGAGACAGCCACTGAGACAATGACTGAGACTGGGTATGGTGGCACCTGCCTGTAATCCCAGCACTTGGGAAGCTGAAATCAGGAGGATCACTACTAGTCCAATCTGCGTAATGAAACACTATAGACCTCGTACTAAATACATAAACAAATTGTTAAAAAAAAAAAAAAGCTGAGAGAAACAGCGGATACCAGCTACTTGATTCCCCAGTCTCCAAAACTGTGAGCCGAAATAAGCTTTTACTCCTGACAAGTTATCCTGTTTGGGGCATTCTGTTATAACAACAGAAAATGAAATAAGATGGCATGTTACTAGCTCTGACCAGTGAACACCAGTAGGGCTCATGTGTAGCACATCTTCAGGGAGGTCTACCCTCTTTTACCTCCATCTGCTGGCTAGATGTCACCGGAGTGACGTTAGAGCCCAAGACTAAGTAAAACTGGGTCCTAGCATCACCCACTGAAAGAAAGCCACCCTGTGGTGTTATAAGCACAAGAACTTATGCATTGGGCCTGGCATGGATGAGGCAACCCGTTGACTGTGGTTTGCGTTGTTACCTCAGCACTCACGCTAGCCCACCTTGGTAGCCTCACCTTCAGTGTTCAGAACCACCCTCTGTGCCCTCAACTTACCAGGCGCTGTCACTCGGCCCAGATTGCACTCTCTGTTCTGTCTCCCTGCAACACGTTCTCCTGTTCCCACCTGACAATCTCCACAACTCTGACTGAGTGGTGCCTGCTCCAAGTCCTTCGCTGTCTTCTGCAGCCCATGGTTCCTTCCTCTGTGTTTCTGTACTAGGGGGCCTGTCAAACCATGATAACCGAGTTATCTTAGCAAGAGAAGTGAGCTCTTTAAATAAAGGCCGGTGCTAGGGCCAGTTCTTGATGTTCTGAGTGCTTCAAATAGTGCCTGAGATGTATCAGCTCCCTATACATGGATTTTGGAGTAGTCTGAACCATTGGTTCTGAGAAGGTTTTGTGCTTGCATCTCTTACGTGGTTCATGGAAGGTGGGGTTGGTCTGAATTTAATCAGAGAGCCTGGGTTGCTGCTGATATATCCCCTCAGGGCTCTGCCACTCTTGAAATAAAGTGGGACCTTGCCTTTTGCCTTTTGGTGCTCACGGGAAGCTACAGAGAAGTCAGGCTTTCTGATTTCTAGTGTTTTCCCCACTTAGAATGTGTGGACTGGCCAGCCATAGGAAGTTTGGATCTCACCCAGAGTTCCAGCCAGAGACTTTAGAGAATTTTCTTGTTTCTCGTAAAATTTATAGTTTTTGGAGGGAAAAGTGAGGAAATAAAAAACATCAAGATCGAATGAAATGAGAAATGCTTTAATAGGAATGCTTTATCAGATCTTCCTGAGTTTCTAACATAGCTTATAGATGAAAATACTGCTTTTGTAAAAATGTTGGTTGCACAAGGCTGTCCTCCTCCAAGCTGCTCACTCCTTAGGGTTGGTGACAACTGCGGTGGTGGAGTACGAGTAGGGGCTGAGCAGGGCTGCGATGGTGTAGTGCCGGCGGCCAGAGTCGTTGGCTGTGAACACCACCTAGGAGAGAGGACATAAGGGCCATGCAGAGCGTGAGAAGGCCGCAGAGACCGCTGCAGGGCCAGTGCAAGACGAGTTATTTCTATGTTAGTATTTGATTTCTTTGGGAACAATGAGAATGATAAACACAAATTCAAGCTATACCTTTGAAGCCTGGTGGGGCTCTTAGAGAAGAGGCTTTCACCACTGTCTTACTTTACAAATTCACTTAAGCAGACTAGGCAGCCACAGCCTGACTGAGAGCCATGACAGGGAGTTTGGAGGCTGCTGTCCACATTCTTGGTTTCAGAGGTGGAAAGAAGGGAAACAGTGGCATCCAGTGATGAAAGGCCTGCTGAGGATATGACCACCAGTCCCACTGTGGGCTTTGAGGCCTACAATTTTGGAGCAAGAAGGGCCTATTCCTTCCATTTTACTGAGAAGCAAATCACATCTCTGCATTAAATTTCCTGCAGAGGGGCTGGGGAGATAGCTCAGTAGAATAAGTGCTTGCCTGGCAAGTTCAAGGTCATGAGTTCAATCCCCAGTACTGCCAAAATAAATAAATAAATAAATAAATAAATAAATAAATTTCCTGCAGACTTATACAGTGACAGAGCCATGCCAGGAAAGTGGGCCTTCTGTTATTAGGCCAAAGGCTTTCTCCCACTGTTCTTCTGTCTTGTCTTGTCTTTCTTTCTTTCTTTCTTTCTTTCTTTCTTTCTTTCTTTCTTTCTTTCTTTCTTTCTTCTTTCTTTCTTTCTTTCTTCTTTCTTCTTCTTTCTTTCATTTTGGTACCGGGCTTCAAGCTCAGGACCTTGTGCTTGCCAAGTAAGCCCGTAAGTCATTGAGCTATATCCCCAGCCTTGCTTTTCTGTTTTTCAACATGAAGAAGATACACATTTTTGTGCCTTTGCTGTGGTTTATTGCAGGCAATGAAACACAGAGTAAAAGCATTATAGGGTTCTAGTCACAAGACAAGCAGTCTGCAAGACCGTGTTGGAATTTTGAAATGTGCTGCTTTGGCGCTCACTTCAGCCTACTGATGGGGCAAACAGTGACCAAAGTGCTGTTGCAGTTAATTAGCCTTGTGCTTCTCCAATTTAGTGGCCACCTGAGATTCGGGTGCTGGGATGGTCTAAGTGCTGAGGAAGACCAGTGGGGAGAGCTTTGGTGTGGCAGAGAGACGGGGCTGTGAGGACGTGTGCAATTCTATTTTGTGCGCAAGTCCTGGCTTGGGCTGTGGCTACTACACTCTGGATAAATAACTTTTGTTCCAAATGTGGAACCTGGTGATGCAGGGACTTGAGAACAAAAGGTATGGGTGATCTGTGCAAGAATAACGTGTGGGCAAGAGGAGAGGCGAATCATCTAAGAATCTCCAAGGAGAAAGGAACCAGGGAAGTTTTCCCATTTCCTTTGGTGGCTTTGGCCTCTGGGTCCCCTTAATCCTTCCTCCTATTATGAAAGGCACCTACTGTGTGGTCACAAATACACGAAGCAAAGAGGCCCCATAGTTTCAAAGGAAGTGTTTTAAATTTCCCCAAGTCTCTTTTCACCTCCTGGAGCTCGGCCAGGAGGACCTGGCTGGCTCGGCACGACTGTAGCTCTCTGGCTGAAGGCCTCACACCCACCCCAGTCCCCTGAGTGAGGCACTGGGCCTCATGCTTCTCTCCTCCCAAAAGTGATTTGTGGGTGAGGAAGCTGACGTGTAAAGAATAGAAACAGCAGAACCACGGTTTGGTGTTCAGGCTGAGACTGAGGGCAGGCTGGCCCGAGGGAGGCGCGCGGATGGGGATGGGTGGGGGGTGTCTTGTCGTGGTCCCCATCTAAACATGTGCCTGCCCTGGTTCCTCAGTCTTTTGCAGCCTGGCCATGGTGGAGACTGACTTCTCAGTAGTGGGGACACCCCTGGAGACTTGTGAGCCCCAGAAGTTAAACAGACCCCTAGAGTTTCCCCAGTAACATTGTCAACTCAAATAACTCATCCTGTTAATTACAAGTCTCCTCCATGACTAAGCCAGAGAGAATGGTTCCCTTTTGTACCAAGTTATTTTTGATGGAATTGGTCAATCTTTAACACTGACCAATATATTTGGATTCTATTTTCACGACTTCCATCTGTTTTAAATGACTTGGGAAATTAAGACAAGGAGGAGACTGGGATAACTATTTGAGGATACTTATCTCATAAGTAGAAAAAGAAGTATAAACCAAAATTTGCAAATATGGTTCTCCCTCCTCCAATCATCTTGCAGAGGAAAACCTTTCTGAGGTATTGGAAGGTATTGCAGCACTCAGGTCAAACCCAGCCTGGGCCCCAGAAGTAAATCCTCCAGCTCCTGCAGTTACAAGCCAGCTTGCGCAAGTTATTTAATTTCACCATGCCTCATTTTCTTCGTCTACAAAATGGGTATAATAATAGCACTAATCCCAGTGTGTGGCTCAGGAGGATGGAATGAATTAAGGATAGAAAACATCCCAGTGTGTGGCCCACAAGACGCCCAGTGGACCTATCTGTTGGGTTATTGTTTTGAATTGGTTGTCTTTATATGCTTTGCCAAGAATTGCTTATCTAAAGCTGAGTGGTCAGAGGTATTTGGAGAGAAGAATTTTTCTGGTTTTAGAGAAGTAACATGGTACATCCTACCTTTTGTTACAAATAGTCTGCATGAGGTCTGAAGATGTCCTTCTGAGTGTTGTAAATTTCTAATTTTGAATAGAGAGGAAACCAGCATTTTTCAGCCCTTTCCCTATGACATTGCGGTGGTCTGTGACAGCAAGCTGTACTTCCTGGAACTGAAAATTAAACCAGGAACAAGGCCCGGGAGCTGACCACTCACCTCTGCGTGTTCGTGGAATGGGGAAATGCCGAGGGCCGTCCAGTAGGACTTGGTGTCCAACTCTACCTTGTACATCGCTTCTACAAAGTCCTTTTCAGTGGTGAGCCCATGCAGCTCTCCAGTTTCACTGGTTTTCCTACAAGGTGTGAAAGTCCAGGTTAAGTTAGGCGTGAAAGGAATACATGGCATGGCACAGGATGTGTGTGTAATTGTGTGCGAGATCTGTATCTATAGCCAACTACCTATACATCATATATCACCAATCTATCATCTATCAGGGCTGACCTGATAGCTCAGTGGACTAAAGCACCCGCTTAGGCAGAGTGCAGCGGCAGGGGTTCGATCCCTACTGTGCCATGATGGCCCTGCCCCCCTGGGGTGCACTGAGCCTGCAAATGAGACTGGGTGTGGTGGTGTGCACCCATAATCCCAGCTCTTGGGAGGCTGAATACAGATGGATCACTACGAGTCCGATCTATGTAGTGAGACCCTGTAGACCCTGTAGACTCTGTCCTAAATACAGGGAAAAAAAAAAACAAAAAACAAAAAACTATCATCTATCTACCATCTATGTATCTATGATCCATCATCTATCTATCTATCTATCTATCTATCTATCTATCTATCTATCTATCTATCTATCTATCTTCTATCTAAATACCCCCTCCCCAATCCAAATCAGGAAGAAGAAAACTATAGTACCTCTTTGATAAGAAAGGGCAAGAAATCTGTAGACATTTTTTTAAAAGTTCATTGTAGATTTATGCTCTTATGAGAACAAAATGTAATTATGATGTTTGCTTTAAAAAGTCCTGCCCAATGTGGTGGGACATGAATGTAACACCAGCACTTAGAAGGCTGATGCAGAAGGATTGCTGCAAGTTTGAAGACAGCCTGGTCTCCACATTGAGTTCAGAACCAGCCTGAATTACACACAAGAACATGTCTCAGAAAAACAAACAAATAAGAGTCCCAAGCCTTGAGGTGTGACTCAGCAGGGCAGCTCTTGGCTGGCATGCATAAAGCCCTGGATACACCTTCAGCACCAAAACTGAAACAACAGGGATTCAGAATCGGAGCTTGGATGAATGTTCGTGAGCCCACAAGTCACCAGAAGCTGCTCGAACCATGCAGCTCTTCACGACTGCAGGGTCTCAGTCCTACCATGTGTGACATGCGTGAACCTTTCAGAGATACCTTTTGGTATCATTTGTCCCCAGAATGGAAAACCTAAAGTACAGAAAAGAACCTGTGTCTGACTCTTTCTTCTTTTATATATTTATCTCTTCAGTATTTCTTTTTTTTTTTTTGGCAGAACCGGGAATTGAACTCAGGCCCTTGAGCTTGCCAGGGAAGCACTTATTCCACTGAGCCATCTCCCTGGCTCCATTCAGTATTTCTTTGCCAACAAAAATACTAGGTAAGTTCCACTTCTTCCTAGGGACCAGGTCAATAGCTGAGAAGTTAGAAGTTGCTGTCCTGTAAACTGTAATCGCTAAGACAATGAAAAATGAACAACTTATGTTGTTCTGACTTTGCTGGCCCTCATTTCTTCTTTTTGCTTCCTCTTTTCATGTGTGTATTTTTACAAAAACAAAAACAAAAGAATTGTAGGAACATTTAAATTTTTTGGTGTCTGTTCCAGCTCCTGTTTAAAATACTCTCTGAACCATTTTTCATGTTGTGCCTGGTATTTTATACGAATATAATGAATTAGTAAATAAAGGCTCCAGTTAAAGCCACACCCCCAATGACCTTCCCTATGATAGGTGAAGACTCATCCTATGGTTCTGAGGATATGATTAAAATCCAGCAGAAACTCTTCTCCCAGGAGGCATAAGTGCTTAGCACCCCTTCTTCTGCCTTGTTCAGAAGGCATTTTCTGCTGCTCTTCCTTCCAGTTAGTTTGCTTAGCTCAACTAATACGCATGAAAATTTTAGAGTGGCAGACAAGAGTGAGAAGTCTGTACTTCTAGGGTGGGTGAAGCAAGACCCATGGCGCTGGACTCTGCCTTCCACATTGTTCTCTTAGATGTTTTTCTTACTACACTTGGCAGCTGCCAGTCTTACACATAGTAAGTGCTCCAGTGTGTTTATTAGTCAAAAGCCCTGGATTCCAGATGACACAAATAAATTCTAGTGAAGTGTCAGTGCTGTCCCTCAATTCCTTTCCTTCTGTTACTAAATTAATGCATACTGTGCATGCTTCCTAAAATTATATCAATTCTAAGAATGCTTCACCCAGGAGCACCAGGGACTCTGTCAACCTCCTGAGTTTACATATATGTTTTTGTATGTATCTACATGCATCTTGTTGGACATGGACTCTATCATTTTCATCACCCTCTTCAAGTGGCTTGTGACCTGAAAGGTCACAAAAGGTCACTCTTGCTTGAGTGGACTATGGAGTTTCTCAACCTTCCATTAGCTACCATCTGTCCAGAATAATGAACCAGTTCTTGGTCACTGCCAGCTAAGAAAAGCAAGAAGTGATCCCTCTAAGGACACACTCAGGCTCTGCTCATGTTGTCCATCTACTAATAGTTCTTGGGATTTTGGTTTGATTGCATTTGTTAGTCTTTTGCTGTGCTGGAGATTAAAGCCAGGGCTTTGTGCATGCTGAGCCCGTGCTCCACCGCTGAGCTGTACTCTGAGCCTGTACTTGTAGATTCTTTGGTAGATGATGTGAGTGAGTCTCTCCTTACCAACTGGAAGAAAGGATGGGAAGATATAACTGAGTCCTACAGCGGGGCTCCTTGGCAGCTTACCCAGTGGCGAATGGCTCCCAGGTTTCATCAGCACCCTTTTTGAACACTTTCACAGCTACACCGACGGCAGGACTGCCTCGAACGGCATCTAGGACTTTGACCATCAGAGGACATTTGGCTTCACCAGTGCCCTGGGCACAGAAAGGACAAGTGAGAAGTCAACAAAATTGATCAGCATGAAAAGATTTATTCTTTATGATGTTAAGAATCTGGAACAATGCCGGAAATGCATGCTGATCTCATTACCAGCAACATAAGTGTTGATCGTTAATGAGCTTCCCCGCTCAGGGTAACGCAGACATAATTGTTTCCAAAGCAAGAATGGTTTCTGCCTCCAGACACACTGCAATCGATTGACTAGGGATGTTTGCAGTGAATTCAAAGGAGAAAATAGGCTCTTGGGGAACGGTAGCTTTGTTCAATCTCTCCATTGGAGTGGAATTACTGAAAAGATTCACTGTATGCAGGACCAAATAATTTTTTCCAGAGATCATTCTTTAAAGTTGTTGTGTGAAAATTAACTCTTACTACTTATTATAAAATAATATCATACTACTTTTCTTACCCATCTGATGACATTTAGTTAATTCTTCCAGAAGACTTAAGAATCAGCTCTCTGACTAGAATGTTATTTGACAACAAATATCAATCAATACTTCTACTACTAGCCAAAGGGCCCTAATAATATAACCTAAGCAGTTTGTTCCTAAATGTATTTTATGAAAGGATATTTTTTTTTATGAAATTCAATGTGAGCAGCCTGATTGGTAGCATGTCTTTATTTCTGACATCTTCCTGAGCATACCAAGGTATTAGGCATTGCAAACTCAATGTATCAAAGCAACAAGAAAAAACCCTGAATCCAAGCTCTAGTTCTGCAAATTTATTCTTTTCAAAGTTTGAATCAATGGTATTAAGAATCTGAAACAAATCTGGAAGTGCATGCTGATCCCATTACCAATAACATAAGTGTTGACAGTTATAAGCTTCTCCACTCAGTATTAGAGCCCTAATAGCAAAAGTTGCTAGGCCAGAAGTCACTTGTATGTCACCTAATGTACATCTGCATTCTATAGTAGGGACTTTAAAGAATCAAGCACTCACCACAGGCTCAGCCTCAGACACAAATGCCAGTCCAGCAAGGCAGAGGAGGAGCAGACAGTGAGAGGCCATCTTGCCGGGAGCTACTGAACTTTTACAAGAGCTGCTTCCAGCTTGGGGGATTTTATACTCCCTTCCCCCAAGCAGGCTTCTGATCCCTGCCAGCCTGACTTCAAACCTGCTGATTCTGATTATTGACTTAGTCAACAAAGGGCAAATAAGTAACCCACACAAATATGAACCTTGCCTAGGGAGATTAGGGCATCAGAATATAAGCTCTATGAAATATTCTTAACTGGTCATTTGACCAGCTAGGTCACCAAAACGAAACAACCCAAACAAACAAAGTAGCTCTCCTGCTTGGCAGAATGCAGTAGCATTCCTGAGATTCCCTGCTAAACACCTAATTCTGTGTGTGTTTTCTGTGTTCTATACAATCTCTACCTTTCATTGTAGATGATGGGTGCAGGATGTCATAATTTATTTCATGTTGAATAACATTTGGCTGTACAGGCTTAAAGACAATGCATTAGAAAATGTCATTGCACTCGATCTATGTTCATGAACCATCAAAGGAAACCCTCGGCTCTGCTGTACTCTTTAAAGCCTGTTTTAGCCAAACTAAGTCATTTGGAAGCTTAGCACTTTCTCTACGTTTTGAGTGCCTGTGAGTGTACATAAAACAAAAGTTTGGCTCAAGCCAGAGAATAACTGTATGTTTCAAATTGACACCAATGAACCTGAAGTAACAGAGAGACCTATATCTTCTTGACTGTGTCTCCTCACTGGGCATGCAGGAGCAAGGCTTTTGTCAGAATCAGATTTTCTGGAAGGAAGTGGAGACGGGGAGAACTAGAAGCCATGTTTGACAACACCTCTTCCTGCTGGCTGACTTACAAAGCTGTGAGTTGTAATGATCTGATGATTTGTTCATAAGGACCAATTCATGAATATATGGCTGTGTGTATGGGTAACTTAAGACACATTTTTGTCCTTTCAGAAACACATTTGTGAAAGATATAATAGAAAAGTAAATGCGTTGGACAAATACAAGTTAAGGATGTGACCAGTTTGGAGCTCTGAGAGCCGAAGGCATACTCTTACAGCTGACAGAATCTGGGTGAAAGAAATTCAATAAGAAATATAAAAGATATTAGCTCTCAGGGAGGCAGAAAAAGAACAGGAAGGCCCAGCATTTGAGCATGTGCAGGAGAGGACTCAAAGGACTTTGGGAAAAGGAGAATCAAGTCATCGGGGAGCATAGCTTGGAATGGAATCTTGTGACCATGAAGAGTCTGGGGAAGAGACGGAGGCCTTGTTGCATCCTGCCTTAGGTCTGCTGCTGCATTTCCTGGATGGTTCTTTGAGTTACTTAATGTCTCAGACACCCTGCTGACTCAGTTGTAAAATAGAAATGCTACTTCTGCACTTCAAAGAATTGTTCGAATAATCTTCAAGGGGTGATGTAAAACCATTTTGACTATGAACCACTATTTTGCAGTAAAAACATACATGGAATACATGATTCAGCTTAACATCTATGCCTAAGGAGAGCATCTGTTCTCTAGCAGCTCTCATGCTGTCATCTAATATTGATGGCCTTGATCATTTCCTATTACTCAGAACCTAGCTGGAAAGCGTGGTCTCTGACTGCGAATTTTAAACACTTGAAAATTCCTTCATAATGTAGCAGGATCTGCCATCTGTACATTTTAGCGCTGTGCTCTGTTGATACCAAGAATTGTCACCTATAGACCTTGTGAACTGGCAATCCTGGGCTGCCCCCTGCCTATAGACACCAGCGTTTCTTTAAACAGCTTGACATAGTTGCTAAAATTAAAAGTAGGACATGTTGCATAAAAATCTGGCTTTCTGGCTTGTCTTGAGAAATCAGAAAAGATGGCAGCAGTTGGCCCATATTCCTACAACAACAATCAGCAATGTTGTTTGCTAACTCCCTCTCCCAGGTAACTTTTCTAGAGGCATGATCATATTTGAGCTTTTTTTGGTCATCTTTTTAAAAAAACGTATGTCCTATTTTTCTAATCTGTGTTCCTGGCCAGGCCTTGGAATTTTGAGCTAGTGATGGCTGGTCTTCCAATAGTCATTGAAGTAGTGAACAACAGCTTATTTTCTTCTGGCCAAATAGACATCTCTGCATCTTTGGATGATTCCTCTTCGGACACAGCTCCTGGCATCTTGACTGCCCTACACTTCATCCTCTGACATCTTCCCATCTGCCAGTGTTTCTCTTGAAAGTGATGCACCAAAAGGGACACAGGGTCCAGATAAAGTGAGATCAATCCACAGGACATGGTGACTGTGGCCTTCCTTGGTAGAGGCGCCTACTGCAGGAGTGGCACCCTGAGTATGTTCATGACCCTAACTGCTGTGACCCCCCCCCCCCATCACCACTCTACCTTCTGTGACCTTGGTCGCAGTAATAAAAGCTAACCACGATGTATTCATCATCCTGCCCTTTGTTCTTTTATCAATTTTAACTTTCAATGTGGGTACTCGGGTTTATCTCTGGTCCATCTCATCCTGTTAGTTCCAACACACAGCCCCAGCCTATTGACATTATATAACAGCTGATTCTGTGAGTCACTGAATTAGAGTACTTTCCAAATCTTTTGCCCTGGAACACTTTGACTTGGTGGTCCTCTCATCTGTCATTGATTTGGAAATCATTAAGAAAATGTGAATTTGAACTAGACAAGGAGAGGCAGAGAAAGTGAGGCAGTTCAGTGTGCAGGGAGGATCCTGGGTCTGATTGGAAAAACCACCAATAAACTTTACAGAGATGGAAATTATTTTTAATATAAAAAAGAGAAAATACAAGCAAAGGGCTCAAGATCGAATGTAGTCTGGAGGTGAAGTAAAAACGCTACTGGTGAAGAGGCCTGCAGTTTTTCGGGTGAGATAAGAGCAAGGAAAGAAGATTAGAAAAAGAACAGGAACACAGGCTTTGTTGAAGGAGAGCTTGCATGGGACAAGTGACCATGACACACACAAGAGGAATCCAGTGTCCTTGCCTGCGAGGTGACTGTGACGAGGGAGTTGGAGTGATAAACATTGCATCCCATAGAGAGATAAGTGGTTTTGCCTTTCTTGTGTTTATTTGCCTTTGAGTAGACTCTCCTCAAGGACGGTGATGTGGGCTCCTCCACACACGGGGATGAACTAGGGCCAATGATCACCACATTTCTGGAGTCCTAAGAAGATGCAACCGAGACCAGATGTTCTTGGGCAATCTGAGCAGCACTGGAGATCCAGGGCTAGAAAATAAAAGGAGGATTTTTGAAACATTTAAGCTGCAAGTTGATGTCTTTGTGCTGTTTTTCTTTACATTTCAGTCATCAGGCTCTAGCCTAAATGTTTAATTAGGTGAAAAAGACTAATTTGGTGATAGCATTCCTCTCCTACTAGAGAAGAAGCAGCAGCTAATAAACAACCAACTCAGACTGCTCTTCGTGTAAGGTTCACCTGCCTCCCCTCTTGTAATAGACTTTTAAAAATAAACTGTAATTGTTTATATCATGGATAAACTATTTCTTCTTAATTTGTGTTCTGAGTGAGAGCTTCAAAGGACTAAGCAGTGTTCTGTTGATGCTGAGGTGCTAATACTCTTCTGAGTAACTGGATTAGCCGGGAGAGAGATTGGGGTAGCCAGGTGCTTGGATTGGACCTCCCAGTGGTGGGGCAGGGGGTGTGAGGGAAATGACAGAATTCAAGAATTCAATTTTGTCAGCTCCCCTTGAGGTGAATGCATCCTAGGGGGTTTGATTAATGGCAAGCAAATAATAAAAGATTCATTGTACAACCATAATGCTAATTTAATTAACAGTCAGACGGTTGCTGGGTAAGCAGAGAACTGGAGCCAAGGGAATGTAGTGAATTTTATGTGGATGCTTCCTCTAGGCTGCAAGAAAACCTAGTAGCTCAGACTGCTTGTGCCTTCCCTAGCTCGTTTTTCCTCCAGGGAGCATTGAGTAAAAGGAAGAGAAAGGCCTTGTACTTTCTTTTCTCTTCCTTCTGTGTTTGCCTAGAGCGTCACAGCAGTCAAGGCAAATGGTATCTAGGATATGTTAGCTGCATCGCATTTGGTTTTATATTCATTGTGGTTTTCTGGTTGCCCCAGTTCGAAGCAACAATTGAGGCCTCCTTAAAACAGGAATAGTTCATCTCTTGCATATCAGCATGCCCCGTATTTGTGGACTTGATCATCAAAAGCAGCACCTGAGGGCCATGCCAGTTTGAGGATCCGCCCCGTCTCTACCAGGGAGACCTTAGTTGGCTTTATTTCCTGAGCTCAGGTGATTCAGAGGCAGGCAGCCATGCCTGGGTTCACCTGTGTGAGCAATTGTACACATCTCAAGGACTTTGTCCACACACAGTCATTAGGGGCAGCCAGTGTTATGACTTCCAGAGTCCCTCAACCTCACTCCCCTCCTTATGAAGGGGAGATGCAGACAGAAAGGGAGTTTAGGACTCCTCCATCTAGTTGTCAGATTTTCTTTGTGTTTCTCCCTGTTCTACCCTGCAGCTCCCGTAGAAAATGGGCTTGGAATGGATAGCACTTGATTGGCTATCATCAATGATTCATGAAGGACAGACAGGGGCCGGGGCATGGCCTATCGGAGGGCAGTGTCAAGCAGACAGCTTCCTTCTCCAAACATCCTCAGGACATGTTTATGGATTAATATAATTTACGAAGAGAAGAGACTACGTGGGCATGTGGGCCAACTGTACCAGAGAGAATTAAAGATGATTTGGTTGATCTTATATCTGTACCCACATCTTCCTTAGAATCAGCTGTGCTGATTCTTCGGCTTTAATCCAATGTCCATGCTTCAGGATCCAGATTTTGGCCTCTTTTTACTATCTTTTGACCTTAGAAATGTGACTAATTCAAGAGATTTTGTGAGTTCAATAAATTCAAAAGAAGCAACCACTGATCATGTTCTGCATGTAAGTTGGCGTGTTAGCTGTCACCATGGATGTTATCGAGAAGCATGTGCCTCAAAGTTGCTCATAATATAAATATTAAGGAAATACATTTTTCCATTAAACAGAAAGTAGGGCTGGCCAGATAGCTCAGTGGACTAAAG